TACAAAGGACCAGCTCTCAAATTGCCAGCTTTACAGAGAAGACGGTTGGAGATGAAAGCAAAAGGAAGGCATTCATTTCCCTTATGTCTTGAAGGGAATATAAATAATTCTGCATTGACTCTATAGACACTCTGGAAAATTGAGGAACTTTTGTTCTAATTTGTGACGAAAACTGTAGTTGCTGTCTGGTTCTCTTGTATTTATGCCTTGCCAATCAAAATCACTTTCTTTTCTGAGCCAGATATTAGAAAGACTTTTCACTTTTTGGAAGATTCTTTTTAATGGAGCAGTCATGAGTTACTAACTTACACCTTTGCTTGGTGAATTTGGTCTTCACGTGATTGTAATTACACATGATTCACGTGATTGTAGTTACATTCAAATGATAATGGTTTTAAAAGTTTTCCAGTAGAGCTAACAAAAAAAGGAACCAATGGCATTTGTGACGTTATCAGATGTACAAAGTTAACATTACTACTGTGAAGTTAAAGTTGTATTTTCACTTCATAGGAAATTTGTAGCCTGAAAGCAACTAAAGCAGTAACTATTCAATATTCTTTTTCCTGGGATATGAAAATTCAAAGAAAATATGAGCTAGGAAAGTATACAATTTCCTAAATGAAATGCAGTCTCTGAAGCCTTAAGTTCCCTTAAGTATAATCATGCTTTGGCTTGATAGTCAATCTCAATAACATAAAACTCGCATTCTCAAAATTGGTACTTACTCTCCTGAGAGCTTCAGTATTGAGAGCTTCCTTTGTTTTCTTTGCAATCATTGGCACTAGAAACTTGATTTCTTGAATGAAAGATAACATTCTCTGCTTCTTATTTGTTTCCTGGTGTTTTAGTAATAATAAATATCTGTAAAATTATGCTAATATTCCATGTTGGGTCACAATACAGAGTATAAGAAATCAAAGCTAATTTAGTATAAACACAAGTGACAGTGCTATGGTCCAGTAAAATTAAACACTCATGACTCCAGTGACATAACTGCACAGATATTTTTTCACATATGCTTAGTACACAAGCAAGCTCATCTTGTGGGAGATATTCAGTGTGTGGCCTTCATAACCTACCTCACAGATTTGCTGTGGGGATTAACTAGTTAAGATTTGTAAAGTGCTTTGAAAATTATAAAGCTTCAAGTTGTGTAAATGCTAAGCAATATTATTTAATACTTAAATATTATAATCAAGCCTTACAGGCCTTCACCTTACTAGCACAAGTCTTTGTGAGGTCAGTATGGATGTTGCAAGAGGTAAGGCAAGCAGAACCGATCACAAGAGAGAGAAATTTCTTTCTTAATTCACTGTCGGAAATGGATGTGAAACACAACTGTAAAGGTGTTAAAGAGAGACTAACTGAAAAATAAATGTGAAAAGCAATAGTATATAAATCCATGTAAAAATATAGTACTCCTTAAAGTGCCAGTTCCTTACTTATTCTGTATAACGTCTTAACCAAGTAAACCTGATGTTTTCCAGAAAACAATTCAGACCCCAAATGCATAGATGGATCGAACACAACACTGATATCAGTGTTGTGATATTCAGATATTCAGTGACATTCAGTGATAATCACTGAAATGTTTCCAAGAATGTGCAAAATCAATGCACTGGTAAGTTGTACTTCATGCATATTTTAGGTTTGACTTAAATCAAGTAAAAACTAGTTAAGTAAAAGTTTTTAAAACACAGAAAAACTTGTCTATCAATCAGATTGAGAACACCTTCTTTGACAGTTTTTTTGTTAAATTTTGTTTCAGTGTCATCTTTCCTCGTTTTACAGTGTCAATTTTCAGAAGCAGAAGTTAAAGAAATATACTTGGATGGATTTTGAGGTTATTGGTTGTCTGCTTGTTGTGGAGGGTTCTTTTCATTTGGTTTGTTGAGTTTCCTCTTGTTTTTGCAGTATCAAAAGGACAGAGTGTTTCTTAATAAGATAACGTCAAGCATAAACAACATGAAATAATTTGGTGCCTAACTACCTTGAACGCAGATGAACACAATTGTTTCAGGACTGCTGGCATCAATGCACTATAGATGTTAGGGTGGCATATTGTCAGAGACTGAGCAGCATCCCAATATCCTGAAGCAATAAAACCCTATTTGGCATGCAAGGAAGGAGATTTGGATTTATTTATCTTACAAGGACTAATTACTATTCATTGGCAGTCTCCATGCAGGACAAAGCCCTCAGTACTTAAATTTCTTGCCTCTGCAAAAAATGATGCAGGCATTCCACAAGGACATGATTTTCAAGCATTTACATTTCCTCTCTGTGGCTAAGAATAAAGATTACTTTCCTGCAGCATTTTGACATTTTGATCTGAATTGAAGTATATAATAAAAATTCATTTCAGTGAATGTTCAAGTATTAACTGAAATTCAGTATCAGAGAGAAGTAAAGGTAAGAAGGTGCAAAAAGAGAGTAAAAAATGCAGTACTAAAGCAGATGCATATGTTTAGGGATATGGTTTAGTGAGAACTATTGGTGATAGGTGGATGGTTGGACTGGATGATCTTGTACGTCTTTTCCAGCATTGGTGTTTCTGTGATTCTTGCCCTTTCCTGGGTGGAGAAAGTTGCAGGCCTCTAATGCATCTACTTCTCTTTGAAAAACAAACTTTGCTACCTGTATTTAGAAATTTACAGCCTTTGTATCACAGGAGTTAAATTATTTGTCCCCAAACACACAAAAAGTCCATGAAAAAGACAGAGCTCATCTTAACTTTCTAGACACCAGTCCCAATCCCCTATAGACATTCCATCTAGTAATAGCTTAGAGTAGATTTACATTGTACAGTACAATGTACAAAGTACTGTACAATGTACAGTAGGTGTACATTGTTTATAGAAAAAACTGGCTATGTAGGATGGCAAATTTCACTCTACATGCTTTGTTATCAGGATCTTATCAGTCCTTTGTCCAGATATCCCAGGTGATGAGGGAAAACAGAGATTATAAACCTTATTCAGACTCAGCTCCTAAAACTCAAGAGTCCCAAGAGTTTTAGGGGTTCTTTGTTCTGATTCAGACTCAGTTTTCCAGTCCTCTATGTCCTTCTTTCCAGTTCTTTACAGTCCTCTACTCACTTCCGCAGTTATTCTTCAGCCTCATTGTCACAGCTGAGGCAAGAAAAGCAACTCAGCTGTAATATTACTTTCTTTTGTCTCTCAAGAACCTTTTTCTTGGATTTCCTTATTGCCTTCTCTTTTATTTATAGAGTTTTAAATCATACAATGGCAGCTATTCATTCATTTTGGATGCAAATTATGGGTTATTTATGCTGTTGCTCATACTAATAGCAAACTGCTTGACCTATATTAGTATTCTTAATGCTCATTTTGGCAGCAGTGAAATTATTGTGTTTCTGAATGGGCAGGAATTTACCAGGTGCATTACAAATCTAGTTAGAATTTGAACAAAATACAGATGCATCTTTTTGATGCCTGAGCTACTGGATTTGAAAGATATAGAATGACTGCTATCAATTTAATACACAGCACTGACACTTACAGTTTGGAAGTAGTTGTATGTGGCTCAGTTTTCACGTGATTTTAGTATACTGAGCAATACTGAAACACTGCAAAAACAGAACCATAAACAAGTGATTTTGAATGCTGCTTAAAACCAGTATCTAGTATACACGACAGAAATGAAGTCATTTCTGGTAAGCTGACATTTATGAGGAATTTTACTGTTCAAATATGCTACAGGAATAAATATGGTGTTTTGTCCGCTTATTAATTTATGTTCTCATTGTACCATCCACTAAGCCAGAAATAAACAATGAATGCTTGTTTTTAAAACTATTTATTAGCAAACATTGGAGTTTCTGAATGAAAATTATAAACAAATCTTTGCCCAGAAAAGGTAAACAATTGACCAGAAAAGGTAAACAAATTGCTAAGATTAAACTAAAGTAGGTTTTCTATAATGTTTATGAAATCACACTTACTGTAGCTGCATTACTAGTCTTGCTTCATTTAGAAAACTGTGGTGATTATCAGAATAAAATTAGGTATGATGGGTCATTACATCTCTTGCTGCTCTACATCCAAAAAAAGTTTCCTTCTTAGTGCTAGGGGTATAATTCTTCTATCTTCACAGGACCACTCCAACAGGAAAATATAAGAAATTCTTGATAGGAGTCAAATAACTTTTCACTACCAACTATTTAAATTTTCTTATAGATAGAAGCTGTAAACATTCTTAATGTTAATTCAATGGAAACAAGGTACAAAGTAAGAAAAGAGCAATAATTTATGCTATTTTTGTTCTTAAAACTTAGGTGTCTTTTCCTATAGAGTACATAAACTTTGAGAGTGGATTTCCATATATGAATATGAGACTTTTTCTAAATTTTGAAGGACTTTTTATATAGACTGAAAAATTCTGTGGGAGAGGAAGTTCAGAATATACATGCTGGGCTGAACTATCTACCAGAAGTATTGTAAATATGACAGACTCCTTTGCTACTTCTGGTGCCCTGAGCTCCCAGTGAGACCATTTTCCTAGGAGCGTTGTCTTCCTTCTTTTCTTCTTACTCCCTGGGACTTCTTTCCATACGTACCAAATATTGCAGTTATCAGGAACAAACAAACAAAAACGCTCATCCCAATCCAACACATGAGTGCTGATTTCCACCCATCAGCATATTTTAGTGATCAGAGTGGGGTTAGTCTCGCTGAATTCCTCCTGCCATCAAGGAGCAGAAAATATATGCAACACACTCCAGTTAGACCCTCCTATCCCAACTGCATGACAGGTGGGAAATGAGTCTTGTGTGTATATTCTGGGTGTAAGCACTGTGATAGTCTCTGTTCCAGATAGGGATCTTGAAAATTAACATTCATTAGTTTACTAATGCTAACTAATTATTTTACTGAAGCTGCATTTTCACTTCCCTTACATGTCTGAATACCAGCATGATCTCCCAAAATGCATAACAAAATGTTGAGAGACTTTGAAGTTGTCAGCCGTTTGAAACTTACCCATGCAACTCACTTTCTGAAGACTTTCAGACATCTCTTTTGAAGCAAAATGTTGTTCTACTCAGTGTCATCACACAGGAGAAATCAACATTATTCTCTTTGGGTCACGCATGGAGCTTTTAGGCCATGACAGAGCAACCACTAGCATGAAAAGCACCTGAAATTAGAGGTAAAAAAAAGTGGTTAGAATGTAATCCTCAAAAGCCTCTGCACCTGAAGTATCCCCAGAACACTGAAAAATACAGTGCAGGAACTATACAAGATTTTTGTCCGTCTGTAGCAGCCTGTGGAGGCCCAGCAGGATCCCCATGATCGCCACACATGGCAATAACGTTATGACACTAAATTTAGACCATTTGGCTGAGCCCTTGTGTCTTCATTTGAGTGAATATCTTAAGATCTTCTTAATCAATAAGAGATCTATTCAGACCTGTTCAGCTGAAGTTCAGAGTGCAGATCAAATGAAAATATAGGTATGGTAAGAATCTCAAGACTAGACACAGTCGCCAAGTTTGCACATGTTACTAATGTGAGGTAGTCACTGAGATTTTTACACAGCTGTAATAAACACAAGTATCCCAGCTAGAAATTTGACTTGTTTTCTTCACTGTGCTACATATAGACTAAATTTAAATACTTGTGGAAGCATGTAATTTGTTGGGTATAAGTACAATTGTAGCCATCTCTACTACAGCATTATTAGTTTGGTTGTGTTACTGCACAGTTTGCTTTATACCATTTGTTAATTTATAATTGGAACACGCATCAGAAATTTTCAGTGCTTTTCTCCCCACATTATGGTATTTTGCCTAGTTTCTGTTTGGTTTTGTTGCAAGTAAATATTTTTGGTTTTTATGTGGCTTCCTTGTTCATTTCACTTTGTTTTTCTATTCTAAGCAGATTTTCAACCTCACTGATTAACCATCTGAATCACAGAACAGCCCTTCTAATCAACATTGTAGCCTTTATAATGTCCTCATAAAGGACACTGCAGCTAACAAATTTTGATTCTAGCCATTGGGAAGTTTTATCCATCTAGTCACTCTTTAGCTAGCAATATACCACTGCTGTGCTGCTTGCCCTTACTGATTACCTTTGCTTCCGCAAAGGAAATCTAGGTGAAAGTGCTAAGCCTCCTGTCAGAGATAACTGGACTCCACAGAGAGGAAGATGACAGAGGAAAAGCACAAGATCATCAGCTAGGAGGATAACTACTGTTCCCATAATACCCACAGCATCTTCTCCAAGGTGCAATATCTGACACCTGCATCTGTATGCATCTTCATCTTACAGAAGCAGCCACTTTTTAGCATGGGATGCCTTAAATCAGCATGCAATCAAGGACAAGTGAAATATAAAATTGTACTACAGAACTGAGTTCATTCCTTTCTTCTTATAATGCACACACTTGTGATGATTATGTTCATTTCTACAACAAGGAGCAACTCCTTACCACCTGAAATCAGCTAAACAATTAATTAAAAAATCTCTGAATATTTCACATTTTGTACGAAGTCTGGCAAAATATATATATATGCACATATACATTACACATACATTACACACTGCTTTCTCTCTCATTTGTAAGAAAGCCTTGTTTGCAAATAATTTTGTTTTCCTTTCTCAGTTTTTCAAAACTATAACACCTCTACATTTGAAGACTCGCTCCTTAGAATTCCAAATTTAAATATAATGAAGAAAATCTAACCCTTCATGTTTTTCTCTGTCCACACCACACCAATTTTCAAGTCTAATATTAAAAGACCATTCCTTTCAGCAACACAAAAACATAATGTTTCTTAGCCTTCTCATTCCAGGAAACTCAGAGAAGTGATTTCAGCAAATTAAATCCAACAATAACACAGCAAAAGATGTTTGATTTGCCATCTTGATAAGTTTTAATTGATTAATAGCATCTTCTGTTTATTCTGTCAACAACTTTAACTATGATTTTAACTGAATACCAGCTAATTATTTTCTTAGCTGTTTATTTGTCAAAATATATTGTTATTATAACAAAGTAGGATTCTATTCATTCCTATTTTATTTCTCAGTGAAAAAGCTAGTGTCTCTGATGGCTCTGACTGCATTCGCTTGGTACCTAAAGCTATTTGTCAGACTGGGTGGTGTTTCGTACTTAGCACCCCAGTTTCACAGTGCATATAGAAAAGAGACAGAGAGATAGACAGCTAACTCCACAGGGAAATGTGTCCTGTTCTAAAAAAGCTGGAATGATTTGCATTTCATAATTGCCTACTACTATCTGCTAATAGACTAATTTATCAGACTAAATTGGAGTACATATATAATGCTTGGCAGCTTTGATCATCTAAGAGGAATACAGCCCCAATAAAGCAATGTGAGTCAACTAAAAGAAATGATTAAGAGCTAGACTACTGTGTTATATTATACTTCTTCCTAAACCTGAAGAACAGCAAAGAGCAAATGCAGCCAGATTTCACTACCACTACTATTCAGCGGTGCTTTCTGTTTCCTAACTAGTTATTGGCTACCAGTTCAAACCTACTTGAAGAAATTCAGTGTAAGTAAGTTAAGCAAAATCAAGCTGTTTGAGAGTGAACATAAATTACTGGCATTCTTTGTCTTTGGATGATTAAGGGGAGAGATCAAAGTACTTATCCAAGGACCAAATTTAGACTCTGAGTTGGTGATGTATTACATCTGATTATCTGCACACAAGTCCCCAGTCTTCCTTGCTGTATACAGAGCTATACAGATGCCTGTTTAAAAGCCTTAACAAGTGTTTCAGCTAGTTTTAATTTTATGTAATTTTAATGTAATGTTCAAATGAATTTTTAATGTGCCATTAAAACCTGGGGTTCGTTAACCATTTACAATAACACATGACAGGAGTTCTGTCATCTCTGACCGATTTGTACTTAAGATCAATAAGAAATTTTCAGAACTTTGAGATAAGATAAACTGTGTGCTTTTGTAAACTAAGTCTCTTTAAAGATCTGGAAGAGCTGGCTCTGCTCTTTCAAAAAAAACTTATGGTTTTACATATACACTTCTTAGGAAGGATAATTTTAAAACTGAAAATCTACCAACCATATCAGCTAGACAGAAGTTCTTTTATACACAGTAAGAATAATGCTGCTGCCTGACTCAAATATCAGTCTTTGCTGTCCTTGCTGTTCATAGTTTACCCCATTCCTTTGCTGGAAAGGAAAGAATGTGACCAACAGATTTTTCTGTTTATAAAGAAAAGGTATATGCAGAAGTTTCACTTTCTTTGGTCATTGTTGTTCAAAGCAGCTTAGTGAGAAAGATGTCACCTGTAAAGCTACGTAAAAATGCAAGAGCAATTTCAATCTAGACAGTTATGTTCATTAAGTACAAAACCAACAGTGATAGACAACAAGTAAACTGTGTGAGTTTTCATCTTTTATCAATTTCCCACAATTCCCTAGGAATTTTCTAGGAGTTTTCAGTGGTGTTTCTAGAAACAGGAGCAATTTCAGTTGTAGGTAAAAACACAGTCGGTTTAGACTAGGACAGCTCTGTTCTAACTTCCCCTCTCTCTCCTGGCTTCTCAGGGACAATCTCGTTCTATGTTCTCAGGCTGCTTTCTTCAACCCCTGCCTCCTACCATCACAAATGCACAAAGTTGCATTTTCAGGATCGCTTACTGCTGTTGAGATATATTTATTTTTGTCTTCCCTGCCTGTAAATGCATTTGCAGTTCCCTAATGGCTCTGATATCTTTGTTAATCATCTTCAGCAGAATTTCAGCACAAGGGTCTTAATTTATCTTCCAAAGATTCACATTCACAGATATACCACGGTCAACACTTGAGTTAGTTCAGATAAATCCTAGTCTAGATAATTTTGCACTAATCTTCAGATGGCTTTATAGACATAGCCACAATGGTTTCTTTCCAGCTCTCAGTGGCCAAGGAGAGCACTGAAAATTAGCTTCGCTGAATATGAGGCTGAAGTTTTGAAACAAAGGGACTAAGGTACAATTCCAGGAATTGTACATGGATAAAGAGCCAAATAGTTCAGACTTTGTGAAGTAACTCCTTTAGAAAGGTAAATGTTTCTCTGAAACATAACTCAAGTATCCATAATAGTTAGCTGAAGACAAGATATATGTGCTACAAATACCGTCCTTATGTGCTTAAATCTTACCATATGGATGAGCTTTGGCAGAGGCCACGCTGTTAATGCCAACAGACAGATGAATGTCTGAAGGAGCGGGACTTTCAGTGACGAGTACTGCAACACCTACATCTGCCTCGAGGAAGCGATCCATCTGTATTCTTAGCCAAAGTCAATTTGTTAAGGGACATTGCCTTCTGTCTTGATTTCATACCAGTCTTTGCAAGAGGATTAGTCTAAATTTCCTGTCTTTCCCAGTTATATAAGCTTCCTCTGACTTAAAGCTTACTTCAGCTTCTTAGATAAAGATACATCTTTCTATAATTTATATCCAGAAATCAATTCTACATTCCAGACTCATTTAGTCATTTCTGTAAAAGTATTTGAAAGGGATAATAAGATTAAAATATTTTCAATAAAATAGAAAGCATTAATTATCTGACTTATTTTATGCTAGAAATTAGGCATATAATTACAATGGAAAATTATCTAACAGTGTACCTGACTCATTCTCCATTATGTTATCAAAGTTAGAAACAACCTTACTAAGTGTCCAGGGAATAAGAAATGCTAATTATATTGTCTGACTTTGAGTGCTCTGGTAGTACTTTACAAAAATAAATAGCTATTGTATGTCGCCTATTTAATGTAACTGGGCTGCATGAAAAGAAGTCTAGAAAAACTCTTATGTAGAGTTTTCTATTTAAAGAATCTTTCTAAATTCAGCAAAGAATAATCTTTTTAAAAATGTGTTTGATTGTTTTTCAGGCTTGTCTGATTGATTTGGCATGCAAGAGAGTAATCTAATTGTTACCACTGTGATGAAGTTGTTTTGAACAGAATCCAACATTCTTAATAAATCCTCTTGCTTTTTTGGTTTGTTTTTCTTAATTTCCAACAGATTTTAACTTAAATATGTAATTCATTGCAGAAGAATTGAAAACCTTTAGATTTTTTATGAGACTATCCTGGAATGGATGGGCTAATGGAACTCTGTGATTTATTTTCCTTAAACAAAAGAAAAAATCATAT